AACTTTTCAAATTGGTTAATGCTGCCTTAAGAAAATGTGGACTCAATCTTGCAATTGAGGTCCATTAACTTACCATTCACCAAACTGTACAGCTTTCAAAACCCCAACAGCAGCCGTACTCTGCCAGTCAAACCCCTGACCTACATGATCAGCATGAGCTCTTGTCCTGTCTTCAAAGAGGACTTCCCGGGGTTCACTGGTCCGAGGTAGGTACTGGAGATTTTTAATTTCATTCATTGATCTGTAGTCAATTTGGTTTCAAAATAATGAGGAGGAAGAAAGCAGCAACATAAAAAATTAACAGCAGTAAGACAAAAAAGTCTACTAAAATACCAAATCTTAAATGAGGGTTGAGAAGGTTCAGCGATTTCGATCATCAGCATCTGACATGCCATAGTGTAATGCTGAATGGGGTGACCTCCTTTTCTCAGTCATGATGTCTTGATAATATGACAGCTGTTATCCTGATCTGGCACAAATGTGGTGTTTGAATATACAAACACTATAAATAAATAGACAAATATATATAGCTCTCTAGCATGTACATACTGCTCTATTTAAAATGGATAATCAACGAGGACCTACTATATAGCACAGGGAACTCTGCTCAATGTTATGGGGCAAGCTGGATGAAAGAGGAGTTTAGGGGAGAATGGATACATGTATGTGTGTGGCTGAGTCACTTTGCTGTCCACCTGAAACTATCACAACATTTTTAATTGGCTGTACTCTAACATGAAATAAGAAATTACCAAAAGATGAGTTGCCTAGTAACAGAAAATTTGATTCAGAATTCAAGGCTGTATGTTTCTTATACCTGGAGTCATTTTTAAGTCTCAAAGCATTCTACTAGACTTAACTGAAGATGGCAACCTGAGCATCTACATCTCCTTCCACATGAAAATGGAAGTAAAAGACTTCAAGTTAATGCAGTAAGGGTGGGGAACAGAAGTGAAGGAATGGATGGGATTATAGATGAAACAGAACTGGCTATGAATTGGTAACTGTTGCTATTGAATACATGGGAGTTTACTACATTATCTTCTGCTTTTTGTGTGCTCAAAACCTTCTAAATATAATCATCTAAAGGTGACAGTAAAGGAATGAATGTTTAGCAACAAAAGAAAATGAATCAGTAAATGAACACCATCAACACATTTCTGGAAGATGATAAAGGTGTTTCTGGACTAACGAAAGTGAGGCGAGAAAGCTACAGGGCTGGACTCAACCAGAAGGGAACGGCAGCTCAAAGGTTAATAAAATGAGGATAATGGACAGAAAGAAAGTACAGCTGAAAAAAGAGCAAGTAAAGTGAAATTCTGCAAATAAACCTGTCACCTGCCACTCCAGTGGCAGAAATGTGGTCAGGTATTTAAACTCATACAGAGGGCAGTGTAGGTGACCCACCAGCATTTATCTCTGACCTTAATTTCTTTGAAAGAACTCTAGTTTTTATTAGGTCTCTGTCCCTACCCTCATTCACAAGCTGCAGAGATGGATCCTGATGAGTTCTGGCAAACTATGTTAAGTTCATTCCCCTTGCCAGTGAATGATATAAGAATAAGCACAAACCAATTCTGGCTAGCAATATGAGAGGAAATCTGCTAAGACTTCTGGGAAGCTCCCTGGCTCCTAAGAAAGTCGTAAAAGAAAACACTCTTTTCTTTCTTTAGCTCTAACCAGATCCAGACGTACACCTAGAACTGCTATCGCCATCCAGCAGCAACCATAGAGGAAGCCACTGTAAATAGAGGGCCTAGGCAGGGAGAAGGACAGAGGAAAGTGAAGGAAAAGACCTCGTTCCTCGCTGACAACACTGAGCCACTGACTATAAGCTGCCTAGAGTCAACCTCTCTGAACTTCCTGAAACACAAGACAACGTTTTATTTTATGAACCAGTTTGAATCAATTTTGTTGCCTGTAACCAAAACCATTCTGATAAAACTTTCAGCCAAAAAATCCTGCATGCTCTTTTCTAAACACATCGAACTTACTATATAAACTCACACAATCCTCTGGCATTTGGACATATCCTTTAATGTCCACTTCTGTGTCTGTTAACTCTAAAGTGAAACCTACCTATTGACAAGCCTTACTGAAATACAAAAAGCATGCCCAGTAAGCCCAATGCTTTTATTTCTAAATAGAAACAAGTCAACCAAGAATCACCAGAGACGTGAAGACAGTCTATAGCAGCCTGAAAAACACCAAAATAAACAACACTGAAATTTAAGAATTTTGTCAGAAGACAAATGTCAAGTAAATGCACCAAAATCGAAAGCGGAAAGATAATAAGAAATATGAGGATAATCAAACTGGGAGATCTATTATTCAACCAACAGCAGTTTCCAAAACCAATGGTTTTGGTTACAAGCAACAAAAGAAACAAATAATAGAGAAATGAAGAGATTACTGAAGCAACTAAACAAGAAAAATTTCCAGAAATGAAAGAAGACATGAATTTTTAACTTTAAGGAACCCACCAAACAACAAAAAGGATTAAAACATAAGAATAGGAATTAAAAACCCAAGCACAGATGTGTCATTGTGAAACTAAGCTCCCAGAGAGGAAAAGAAAATAGGTTACTTACAAAAGAACAATGATGACACTGGCATTAAGATTTCTCATAAACAATATTAGATACCAGAAGACATTGGGGCAATGTTAAAATATCCTAAGGAAAATACACCTTGTAGACTCCAGCTAAACTACAGGTCATATTTAACAACAGAAAAAGAAATTTTCAGACATTATGATCACTCAATACCTTCATTTTCTTAGACTATAATGAGTATGTGATCAAGCAGAAAAAGAAATAAACCCAGAAAGAAGACAACCGTAAGTTAAAGTAGAAAAGCATTAAATGGGAACTACTAGGTAGATAACTGTGAAATAAGCTTTTCACACTGAGGTGAAAAAACACAGAGCTCCAAAACATTTCCAGGTAAAAAGGGATGTATTAGACCAGATAGTATGGTTGAAATTCTGGATTCTTGAGGGTATGATAAAAGCAAAGAATGCAATGTAACTAACAACAGTCTCCCTCAAAGAAGCTATTAAAAAAAAAAAAAAAGCCAAAAAGAAGCACTAGCCAAAGCCATGCATAAAGCTAGTGTGATTTTAGAAAGAAGTCTTTGTGACCCCCTTGGACTATAGCCCCACCAGGCTCCGCTATTCATGGAATTCTCTGGGCAAGAATACTGGAGTGGGCTGTCATTCCCTTCTCCAGGAGATCTTCCCAATCCAGGGATTACAGGTCTCCTGCTTTGCAAGCAGATTCTTTACTGTCTGAGCTACTAGGGAAGCCCAATCTTAAACAACAGAAAGAATAGAAGGTATTGGAAATATGGTCAAGAAAAGTGTATAGAATCCCCTCAAAAAAGGCAATCAGAAACAATAAGAAAAACAGAACAATTCAAAAATAACCAGCAAGATCCAAATATGAACCAAACTAAAATGTGGCATGATTTTCAGTATCTAGGTGAAATATAGAAAAGATCCTTTTGTTTATTATTCCTTTGAGTGACAACAAACCACTCGAACCTTAGAATAAACGAATTTTAGCCTCCAATAAACTTGCTATCCATATTACTTTAAATGCCATTTACTGACTTTCAAATTTTAGAATACTCCTCTTGACAAAGCATAGAGAGCCTAATTACAGTTTTAAAACAGAAGATGAATTAACGTCAACAGTGTATAAGCAGAGTTGACAGAAAGCGCCAGGGGAGGAAGGGGCTGGAGGAAGAGGCGCTGACTGTCTGGACGAGCCCCAGCGGGAGGAGCCCCTGCCCAGCGTGCCGTGGGGGCAGAAAACACTCGTGCCGCTGGTGAAAAAAGGTCCTTGCATCTGGAGGAAAAGCTGGCCAGGATTTTTTTTAAATTATAAACCCCCTATACTGTTTGATGTTTTAAAACCCTGTGCATATATTTCTTTAACTCTAGAGTTCATAAATTTAAAGATCATCTTCATTTGCAGTGCCCTTGATAACTAAACAGCTTCTACATTAATTTCATCATTTTCAGCAACAGGACATTCTCAATAACACATAAAGATGACATTACTGTTTAAATTCTGATTTACTCATTCTAATTCAAAGTGCTTTTGATGCCTCTCTTAAGAATATATAATCCCAATAAAAATTAAATTGGATAGTACCTCAGATTAGTGGAGAAATAATAAATTGTTAAATAAACAATGTGGGTACAACTGTCTAATTACTTGGAAAGAATGTTAAACAGAATCTCTCCCTCTATACTGAAATCAACACCAGGTTAAATACATAATACTGAAATCACATGTAACTAGGAGAAAATGTGAGTATTTTGTAACACTAAATGAGAGAAGGCCTTTCTAAATTTGCCACTAAGAAAAATCTCAGAGGAAAAGATAAATCTGACAACATATGAATACAACTTTCTGTAAGTAAAGAGAAAAGAAACAACATCCCAATGGAAATATAAGTAAAGAAAATTAAAAGGGTATCACAGAAGAAATTCAAAACCCTCAAAAAAGGCAAATTAAAATAACATATTTTTGTCTCAGATGAAAAAAGAGAATATTAGTGGAGGGTACGGGGGAAAGGGTACTATCTTACTATGTGGGTGGAAATATAAATTGGTACATTTCTGGAAGTCATTTAGAAATTTGTAAATACTTTGAGCCTTTAGCAATTTCTACTAAGAAAATAAACATGCATATACACAAAAAATATCTACCTACCTACCTACCTACCTATCAACCAACCAGCCAGTCAACCCACTAGCCAGCCACAATGATGTACCATACATGTTTAGCAACTGGCTTTAGTGGGGGAGATGGCTGATTTGTATTAGGTTGGTGCAAAAGCAATTGTAGTTTTCATTGTTGAAATCTGCCATTTAATATTGGAATACGTTCTTAAATAAATGTGATTATGTTATACATCATTTTAATGTGCATTTCTTGCTTTATGTTTTGCTAATGACTTGTTTGCTGTTTACTTTATATTTCTTTTAGACTATAGAAATAATGTTAGACAAAAAGGACACTTGAGCAATTTTCTTATTTGAGTTCAAAATGAGTTGTAAAGCAGGAGACAACTCGCAACATCAACACATGTGGCACAGGAACTACGAACAAACATAGAACACAGCAGTGGTTCAAGGGGTTTTTGCAAAGAAGACAAGAGCCTTGAAGATGAGAAGCACTGTGGCCAGTCATTTGAAGGTGACAGCAACCAACTGAAAGAATCATCAGAGCTGATCCTTGTATAACTACACAAGAAGTTGCCGAAGAATTCAACCTTGACCGTTCTATGGTTATCTGGCATTTGAAGCAAGTTGGAAAGATGAAAAAGCCCGCTAAGTGAATGCCTCATGAGTTAACTGCAAATCAAAAAAAGCATCCTTTTGAAGTGTCATCTTCTCTTACTCTACACAACAACGAACCATTTCTCGACTGGATTGTGATGTGTGACGAAAAGTGGATTATATACGACAACTGTTGACAACCAGCTCACTGTTGGACCGAGAAGAAGCTCCAAAGCACTTCCCAAAGCCAAACTTACACCAAAAAAAGGTGATAGTCACTGTTTGGTGGTCTGCTGTCGGTCTGATCCACTACAAGTTTTTGAATCCTAGCAAAATCATTACCTCTGAAATCATGGAAAACTACAATGCAAGCAGCTGGCACTGGTCAACAGAAAGGGCCCGATTCTTCTCTACAACAATGCCTGACCACCCGTCTCACAACCAACACTTCAAAAATTGAATGAATTAGGCTAACGAAGTTTTACCTCATCTGCCATATTTACCTGACCTCTTGCCAACCAATGACCACTACTTCAAGCATCCTGACAACTTTTTGCAGGGAAAATGCTTCCACAACCAGCATGAGACAGAAAATGCTTTCCAAGTGTTTGCTGATCCCCAAGCATGGATTTTTATGCTACAGAAATAAACAAACTTATTTTTCATTGGTTGTTGTATGTTGTAGTACACTGGTGGTTGTACAGCTGTTGTTGACTGTAATGGTTCCTATTTTGACTAATAAGGAGTGTTTGAGCCTAGTTAAAATCATTTAAAATTCACAGTCCGAAACTGCAATAACTTTTGTACCAACCTATAGCTGATTCGCTGATTTCTGTGATATAAATACTCCCAACATGGCCAATTTCAAGCTATTCATGTGATCTCACTCAATGTGGAATTACGAGGCTAATATTGGCCCTATTAGCTGGTATAAACTGGTTCCAGCACAGCACTGTCATGTTTACCAAGTATCATTCATCAACATACTAAAAAATTTACACTAATAAAGAATTGGTAAAATAAACCGTGATACAACCATACAGTCAAAAAACTACATAGTCATTTAGAAATGATGATATGGCTGCATCTTAATAAGACACATTTTTAAGTAATAATCATGTAAAGAAGGAATTCATCTGTGTACAAAGAAAATTTATGAACGAATATAGACCAAAATTTGAAAGGTTAACATGCCTAAATGAGTGGGATTATAGATATTTTTTGCCTTTTTACTTTTTTTCTGTTATCTGGTGTTTGTTTTTTAAGTTTATACCAATCAGGAAACCAAACAATTATTTCCTTTGGGGAAAGATTATAGAATAAAAAAATATATACAATACTTAAGAATTTAGAATATCAAGATTCATCATTATGAGGTACAAAAACTGCTGTGGTTTAGCAATGTGCTGAAGTTTTGGTTTATTGCCATGTTCTATCATGCTACCACCTTGTGTTTATAGTTTTTATAAACTATTTTCATAATTATCGCCAAGTACTAAGGTTATCCATACTTAACTCTAGTATTACTTTTCTTTGAGTTTTAAAGTAAGGTCTAAAGCTAATCTGTTAAAACTCATTTTGGAGTACTTAATATTGAGTTCCTATTTCCATAATCTAAGCAAATATATGCAATATTCAGTCTCATTAAATGACATTTGTTCTCACAGTCCTAAAGTAAGTTAATCTACATTTGTTTTAAACAAATTTTGCTTCAAACAAAAAAAAATGTTAGGCCAATATGAATTACTATACATCACTGGTTTTACTTAGCAAACACCGATCACTTGCTATGTGCTATGAAGAATTAGACTGTCCTCAAAAAGGTTAAAATTTATAGTAAAAACCAAAAACTTGTCAACAGATTATTAACAAACAGAATGATGTGTGAGCACAGAGAAGGGAATGACCAATTGTTTAAGGGAACAAAGAAAAGTTTCACAAAGGAAGTGACATCCAAGTTGAGTTTTGAAAATTCATTAAGAGTATATCAGGTAGAAAGGAAGATGATGAAGGGATGCTACTCCAAGTAAAAAGAGCAGGGCAAAAGCACACAGATGTGAAAGACCATGGTTTAGAAACAGAATTCAGTGTGACTGGACCAGACTAAAAGCAGATACACCTAGAAGAGATACTTTCAGAGCCAGATGATGACAGAGCCTTGTCAACCACACAAAGGAGTTTGGACATTTATTCGCAGGCAATTAGAACCTAGGTTTTAAGAATAGAAGGATTTTTTTTTTTAATTTTTAAAAGGATGCCTCACTCTGGTATCTGTGTAATGAGTGAACTGGACTAAGGAACTGACAACTAAAAGAGATTTACTTAAGACAGCTCTTTAAATAAATCAGAAAAAAATGGTTTTCAAACTGCTCAACTCTCAATCATTTCTATAAGCAACCAACTAAAAAAGGGCTTTTGTTGATCTGAGAAAAACCACTGTTTACCGTCGTCTTTTGAAGGGTGACTTTGGCATGTCTGCTGTAGGGATCATCTGCTCTCCTGGCCTGACCCACATGATGGGCCCATCATCACTCTGGGACCTACACTGGAGTCGAAGGCTGGAAAGTGTACCCCAGGGCAAAGTCATCTGGAAGTCAGAAGAATAAGTCACGTTAAAGGAAATTTTTTAGATTACTTACAAGTTAACCCCTCACATCCAAAAGAAAGCTTTAGGAAGCTTATTTTGTGTGTGTATAAGAAGAAAAATAATGCTGTATTAGATAGTAATTTATATGTAAAAAAGAATCAGTGAAGTTAAGTATTTTACTTAAATAATTTTCTGAACATTTATCTTCAAAATATGGGATAAAACTGAATTTTAACAGATAAGATTAGCTTGTGTATGCATGTGTTTAGTCACTCTGTCATGTCTGACTCTGTGGCCCCAGTGACCGTAGCCTGTCAGTCTATCCTCTGTTCACAGAATTTTCCTGGCGAAAATACTGAAGCAGGTTGCCGTTTCCTCCTCCAAGGAATCTTCCTGACCCAGGGATTGAACCTGCATTTCTTGTGCCTCTTGCATTGCAGGCAGATTCTTTACCACTGCGACACCTGGGAAGCCCCTACAATTAGCTTAAAATTTTTTAATGCAAAGTATCCATTTAAATAGTGATCAGAACTTTAATAATCTGAAAAACACTCACTTTCAGAAATGGTGATTCTTCTAACATATCAAGGAACTCTGGGAAATAATCACCAACTTCTTCATCTACTGCTCCAACGAGACTTATCTGCCGCATAGGACCTGCTCGGTAGGTGCCACAGCAGTATGTCCTGTTGACCTGAGATGAAACGAAAGGGGGGCGGAAAGGAGTGAAGTATACTATAAGAATCAGGACAGCGTATTGTTTCCAATGTTCCTATTTCTTTTACATACTAAGAATTCAATGGTCAGTACCTTGGATAAAATCAACAGTTACAGAAAGGCACCCTGGCACACTGACAAATATATTGACATATGAACCACAAATAGAAATTCCAAAATGCAAGTCAGTCCATGGTCCCAGGGAAATCTCAAGGAAATACCGAAAACATTAAGATATACTTAAATTTCTCTGGGAATGATGATTTTTAACTCTTTAAACACTTGTGATCTTTATTAGGAATAAATAAATCGGTAAATAAATAGTTAAACTGACAGGACAGGAAAAAAAAAAACAAAAAAGACTATTAATTTGACAAAAAAGTCAAATTAATCTTCCATATTCATTTTGTAGTCCCTAGGCTGAAAGCTTTCACATCAAGCCAGATAGAAGGATGACTATTATCAAAACCAATCTCTCATCACTTCCATATAAGATTCTCCACCCAAGTAGGCTCATCATTTTTTCTAACCAATTTATGCCAAACTTGCATCTACCTGCAGTGATTTTTCTCTTGAGTCTGCCTTCTTGGAACGTCTTCTTTTCTGTCAACCTAAATCTTAACTGTCAGAGATCAGTTCTAGACTTTTCCTCTGAAGCCTTCCTGAGTACTCTTATAATAATCTAATGTTACCTGCAAGCACATAGACATTTTGTTATCAACTCTCTAGTAAGCTTAAGGCATGTTCTAAGCAGCTCTAAGAAATACGAAGCCCAGAGAATCCTAACCTTCAGGAAGAATCTACCAACAATACAATACAAGCTGATATTAATTCTAGTCATATCATGTATGTTCTTAATACTCCAACCTCCAATTCAGAATGAATTGTTTCTCAAATGGAGAGACAGATTCTGTACATACAGATGACTTAAACACTAGATTCTAACCAGCATTCCACCTTGGTTCAGTAACTTAGCATTTTCTACCTTATGTAAGATGCAGATTAAGTTGAAAGCCTAATATATAATTATACTTTTAAAAGGTAGGTCTCTACTGAACAGTCAAAATTTTTTTTAAAGACAATTGATACTGTTTCAAAAACTGCCTATTTTGCTTAACAGAAAGAATAAAGGACCTTCTAGTATTTCTTACAGTTCTTTACTGCTAGTTTTTTAGGAGTGTTTTCAGAATCATCCCACTGCTTTTTTTTTCTGTAGACAATTTAATGTCATCCTACACATACACATACAAACACACACACAAAAGGTCTGAGATCTTGTTATCAAGTAGCAGTCATTTCTTAATTCCTTATGAATCTTTCCCCCCAGATCTCCTTAGGTGATCCCAGACCAGAATTACCTTGCATATATTTGTATGAATTACATTCCATTTGTTTGTATGATCATCATGCTATTAAAAGTCAGGGGAGGCAGTCTGGGAAAAAGAATATATTATGTGATATAGAGGTAAGGAAGTTTTTCTAAGCAAGCATTATTCTAACCTTTCTAAGACAAGCACCCTAAACAACTAAAGCAGATATAACTTTGGTATTGATACCAGCTCTAGGAACCATATGCTTTCAGGGTTAATAAAAGATTTATCAGTCTCCTCCAAATACCTCCTCCAACTATTCCCAATTATCAGAAATTCCTTCCAGCAAAGGCTTTCAAACTACATGGTGAGTCTCCCAAAGATGAGTCACCATTTAAATCTCACATAACTTAATCTTGAAGAAGTACACAGCCATGTGGTAGTTTTCATCAACTTACGTGGCCTGCTGGCTTTGAGATTATACAACTCTTAATGCATTAAAAATCTGAAATCATATTGCTTTAAATTTTACACACAAAGTGAAACTGAATTAACATCTTTATACAGTACTCCATGATTACCTAATTTAAGTACCACTAAATTCAAGAGCACTGAACTTGAAGACAACGTAAAAAGGCAAACACCTAGAATAATTAATATGTAACATGAAGTAACATAAAACATCCTCTCCTATTCTGGAAAGATAAGAAAGTAAACCTGAAGAGGAGAAATTGCTGAATTTATTCGTACTGAGTCTAGAAATAATCAGCTATTAAACTCTGGCCCCCCAAAAAGGTGGTGGTAGTAGAGCTGTTTAGCAGTATTTACTGTTCATATAAAATAATTTAATAAATGCTAATGTTTATAATGTATTTTAAAATTAACAGCACAAGTTAGAAGACTGACAACATTTATGGCCAGAAATTCAACATGTACTGTGACCTAATGTCAAACAAGCAAATTACTAATTATCGCCCAGTAAATACTCTATCCTTTTTTTTACTTACAAAACTTCTTGGGCATAGAGCTGCTTGGCATACTTACTTGGCAGCT